GGAGTCCTTCAGGAGTGGGCGGCATACAAGACAACTAAACTAAACTAAACTAAATATAAGACCTCAGATAATAAGCCCAATTGAGTTTTTGAGCCCATGCTCTAAGATAAGCCTCCCCCCAAAATAAGCCCTCCCTGAAAATACTGCAACACAGAAGCAGTCATGAGGTGACCATGCTCGCCTCCTCCTGCATCTCAAAAATAAGACCTCCCCAAAAATAAGGCCAAGCGCTTAATTCAAAAGAAAAGAAGACCCTGTCTTATTTTCGGGGAAACACGATACAAGTTTTCTCACTAACGTTCAAGGCTAGGAAATGAGCCTTGGAAGAAAGTAGCTTCCTTCCCATTGGGCCTGGGTCTCCAAAAGAGCTACAGATAGTCCTCGACTTAGAGCCATTCACTTAGTGACCATTCCAAGTTACAACAGCAGTGGAAAGAGTGATTTGCGACTGGCCATCAGCACTTACAACCCATGCAGAATCCTGGCTTTGGGCACGTGATCCAAATCTGAACCCTTTGCAACCCAAATGTATTCTTTTAACATTTGAAGCTTCCTCGGGTCATGTGATTGCCCTCTGTGATCTTCCCAGCTGGCTTCCAACAAAGTCAATGGGGGAAGCCGAAATCGCTTAATGACGGCAGTGATTTGCTTAACATGGGAAAATGTTGTAAAATTGGGTGCAACTCACTTAACCACAGCCTTGCTTAGCAACAGAAATTTTGGTTGTAAGTCGAGGACTACCTGTACAGGTAAGGAGAGAGGGATATCCACAAAGCCATTGCTATTCAGAGCTCCGAGAAAATGGCTTGAAACTTCTGTAACTATAATATGTTTATTAAATAATATACTGGAGTAGAGGCCACAGTTAAGAACAGATTCTAACATACAAAAACCAGTGTTCAAATTCCACTTGATTTACACATTAAATGAGCTACAATCTCTCGATTCCATTTCATCAGCCATTTGGGTATGATTGCAATGCCCCATTAATGTAAGAAGCTGAAAAATATGATAAATGTTGCAGAATCAAGAAAAAAACAACAACCAAATACTCAGAATGACCAGAAATACCAGTCTGACATCTGCTGGAGAACATGAAAAAGTGTAGAGAAACAAGTTTGATTTCAAGTCTTCTTTAATCCGGCATCATCCAGATCAGGGGTGAAATTCAGCAGGTTCTGGAAAAACGGTACCAGAAATTTTGAGTAGTTTGGCGAATTGGCAAACACCACCTCTGGCTGGGCCTAGAGTGGGGTGGGAATGGAGATTTTGCAATATCCTTCCCCTGCCTCGCCCACAGAAGTAGTAGTAAAAAAATTTGAATTTCACCACTGATCCAGATGCATCAGGATTGCAAATATAGAAATCTGTCCGAAAAACTACTTGCATTTTTGGCTGTTTTTTGTGCCCCACAGTTATACGATTGCAATTTACATTATTTTTTTTTGTCAAAAATCAGTGTTTACTTGCAGTTCCAAACATTTCCCATGTAGCTTTTCAGACAGATTCTTAACTCACAACAGCTTGTTTAGTGCTTGTTCCACATTCCACTGAAAAAAAATGACTTATTACCATTTTTCACACTTATGGCCATTGCAGCATCCCTGTGTTCAAAATTCATATGCTTGGCCAGTCACATTCATGATGGTTGCAGTGTCCCAGGATCATGTGATCACCTCTTGCAACCTTCTCACAAGCAACAGCTGCAGTGATTTACTTAACAACCGTGGCAGGATGGGTTGTAAAATGGAACAAAACTCACTTAACGGCTGTCTCACTTAACAACAGAATTTTTTGGGCTCAATTGTGGCCCCAAGTCAAGGTATATCTGTATAAACTCACAGAATTCTCCAGCTAGAATTTGGGAAGTTGAGATCCACACTTCGTAAAGTTCCTGAAGTGGAGATGCACAGATTTAAGTTAAGATGTCACAAGGATTCTAGCCTCTTTGGGAAGCAAGGGGTTCAAAGACCACACCCCACGCCCCTCCCACGCCTCCATCATTTTGGTTGTCTTCTTCGTTTTGGGGAAAAGCTTCTCTCGACCAACTGAACTTTTGCTCCTTGCTGTGATTTATAAGTCATGAAACATTTGGCACCAATAAAATGTTTTTTTCCTCCTCAATAAAATATTCTTCCTCTGCTTTTCCACCCCTGGAGAAGAGGGAATACCACGCAGGCTGAAAATGGGTGACAGCTGACGTGGGACCAATCCGTCTTTTTCAAGGCAACCTACCTCATAGGGTTGTCGTTGGGCCAAAAAGAAAAAAAAGAGGTGTGAGCGTTTTTTAAAATAGGCCGTCTTGAGTTGACCGGAAATAAAAGTGGAAACAAAACAAAATGCATTGCTTTGTAGAGAATAGAATTTCTCAACTGTGGTCACTTTTAAGACAGGTAGACACTCCCGAGTTGAAGTCCACCCGTCTTAAAGTGCCCACGGTGGGGAAATCCTAGCTTAGAAATCAACAAGTCTTCCTTTCTTTTTTAAAATAACTTGCTAGTAGCTTACCGTGCCAAGACAGATATTCTACAATATCCCACACCACGGTTGGGATTCCACACGTGCTGAGCCCTTCTTGCTGCATTTCCTGAAGACTAATGCCAAACAACCTCCGGTGGTGACAGGACCCCTTCTGTCTGCTCGGAGGCGGGACAGCCATCTTTTTCACATCTTCTTTAAGCCTGACGGCTGAGTTACTTTGCTTGAATGGACACAAAAAGGGAGAACACCCGGTCAGAGTGACGATGGGAGGTGGCATGGCTTCACAAATCACTCCTTTCCAAGGGAATTGGAGGGATCAACACCAGATGCTTCCCTAAAGTTCGAGATTCCAGGCAGGATCTGCTAAAAAATGATCTGGGACAGATCATGCACAGATGCAAACCCAGAAACCCTGGTTGAACGGAGAAAGAGAGTCAATAGGAGTGGCCTGAGTCCGTAGCCAAGCAACTGAGTGGATAACTTAGAAACATTTCAAGCTGCATTACCAGAGGAAACTATGGGCGGAGTGGAAATTAAATGCATTCAATGAATGGGCGCCGTTTCTCTGAAAAAAAAAACGAGTGTAAACATAAGAAGTAATATTATGCAACGGCAGATCAAGTCTAACGTGGTAACAAAACACTGAAATGTGGATTTGTAATGCAGCTGCGCGCAGACAGGCGTGGCGTTTTCCATCCTTGCAGCCAGTCTGCAGTAGCAGAACGTCATGCTTGTAAATTAAAAAAATATCTCTGTGTCTTATTAGGTAAGAGTTGACAGGCCAAAGGTCAAGTCCTGGCACATCTCTAGACCAGGCCTGAGGGGATGCATCTTTAGAGAAAGAAAGAAAGGAAAGAAAGAAGGAAGGAAGGAATAAATAAAGAAAGAGAGAGAAAGAAAGAGAAAGAAAGAAAGAAAGAAGAAAGAGAAGAAGGAAGGAAGGAATAAAGAAAAAGAGAGAAAGAAAGAGAAAGAAAGAAAAAGAAAGAAAGAAAAGAAAGAGAGGAAGGAAAGAAGAAATAAAGAAAAAGAGAGAAAGAAAAAGAGAAAAAAGAAAGAAGGAGAGAAAGAAAAAAGAAAAAGAAAGAGAAAAGGAAGGAAGAAAGGGTTAGGTCATGTGATCACCTTTTGCGACCTTTTAAGAAACAAAATCAATGAGGAAGCCAGATTCATGTAACAATTGTGTTACTAACTTAACAACGGCAGTGATTCAATTAATAACTATGGCAAAAACAGGTCAAAAACGGAGCAAAATTCACTTAACCACTTTCTTGCTTAGCAATGGAAACTTTGTGGTCAATTGTGGCCATAAGCCGAGGATGACCTTATATCTTTTATACAGAATGATCTTCCCCCCATTTCTTTCTGAGAACAAATAGGCCAGTGATGGCTAACCTTTTCAGCACCAAGTGCCGAAGCGTTTGCATGCACACCCATAATGCAATGCGTGTGCGACACCTCCTGCGCACTCGCCCCTGTGCATGTGAGTGTGACCCACCAGCATGCACCCGATCCCCGTGCATGCATGTGTGCCCCACTGTATGTGTCCACACACACCCGGTGCATGACCCCTGCTCCCCCCACATACACACGCACTTCCCCACATGCTCCACCGCGTATGCAAACATATTTCTCACGTGCACCCCGCACTCCGTGCATGCACGGCAGAGACCCGACAACTAGCTGGCCGGCGGGAGGCAGAGCTGAGCTGGGGCGATGGTTTGCGTGCCCACAGGTTGGCCATCACGGGAATAGGCTATCAGGGAACAGCAGATCTTCATATGCATGTCTGAACCACCTATAATGATTGAACAGTGTTTCCAATCTGGTTAAATCTTTCCTGCTTCTGACTGTTTAAAAAGTGCTTCTTCAAACAAGCAACAAGTGGCACGTTTATAATCACTACTTCAAGCATCTTCCTCCTGCAGGGAGGCCTGCAAGCACTTGTTTTAGAGATCAACGGCCTGACCATTTCAATCATTTTTTATACCTCAGCAAAAAGAACAGTAAAATCCCCAAATCAGAAGTCCTCGCATAAAGGGAAATCCTATTTAGAGAAGCCAACCACATTTCCCGCAGGCCTTTTCTTCGAAAACATGCAGGCTGCCACTTGTGCAACGGCAAAATTATTGTGAAATCAAATGCTGCAAATTCCTGAACCACAGGCTAGCACCGAAATAACTTTTCAAAACAGTAATAAAATCCAACAGGGGTAAAGCAACCACACCACAAGCTGGGCGAGATCTCACTTCACTGTAGTTTTCCAGGCATGGACACAAACGCCACTGAACAAATACTGAATCAAGAATTGATTTCCCAGAGCTAAAAATAATACCCCCAAACAAAGCAAACCTTCTCCTGATGTTTATGGGAGGCCACATCTGCCCCAGGAGGCTGTAAGGCAGGGATCCTCAAACTACAGTCCACCAGAGCCATTAATCCACCTCCCCCCCTNAAACTACAATTGCTAATCTACTGCTCAGGGAAGTTCTGTCTATATATGATCAAATCCTGGGCGTCATTGGATAAGGCACATCTAGAGTGAACTATCAGGATGTTATGTTATGATCTATCAGGGTGTTATGTTCTTTAGGAGTTTGTTTTTTCCTATGTGGTTCAGCGTGGCTGCGCATGCCCTGTTATGCACTGGGCCATGGGTGATCGCCACACCTACACAAGGAGTTATATGACAACAGTCATGATGGGTTGGACATGACTTCACAACTAACAACAACAACAAAGTCCTTGACTTACAACAATTCATTTAGGGTCCACTTGAACTTAGAACGGTATTGAAAAAAAGTGATTTAGGACTATTTCTCAATCTTACAAGCATTGGAGCATCCTCTGGCAACTGACTCATATTTATAGTATCACAGTGTCCTGGGGTCATGTGGTCATCTTTTGCTACCTTCTACCAGCAGAGTCAATGGGAAGCCAGATTGACTTAACCATGTTATTAATTTAACAACTGCTGTGATTAACAACTGTAGCAGTTGAATGTATGAGGTGTTGCTGTTTTAAACTGTTTCTTTCGTTATGTGTTTTTTTTTTTCCTCTTTATTTTTGTAAGCCGCCCGGAGTCCTTCGAGATTGGGCTGCATATAAATGTAGTTAATTAAATAAATAAAAATAAATAGCAAGAAGATTCATTAAACGGCACCACTAAAATGTTTTTCCTAGGAAATCCCAGAGAAGAGGGGACATGACACAGAATAGAGTAGAATAGAATAGAATAGAATAGGAATAGAATAGAATTCTTTATTGTCCAAGTGTGGTTGGACACACATGGAATTTGTCTTTGGTGCATAAGTTCTCAGTGTACATAAGGAGAATGAAATACATTCATCAAGAATAAAAAGATACAACACTTAGTGATAGTCAAGGTTACTACTAAGCTATTAAATCCTACTAGGAAACAAATAAAAGCAATATAAATTGAATGATACAAGCAACATGGTTATAGTCTTAAGTGTGGAGAGAGGCGCCAGGAAGGAAGAGAAGAATAATAGTAATACGGTCTTAGTAAATTATTTGATAGAGTTGTGGGAATGGGTTGTTAAGCAGAGTTATTTACATAAATAAATGCTACATAAATACAGGCCTGTATTTGTACAGGTGGTCCTTGACTTAGTACCATTCACTTAGTGGCTATTCAAATTATGATGGCACGGAAAAAGTGACTTACGACCAGGTGTCACACTTATGACCTTTGAGCATCCCCACAGTCACATGATCAAAACTCCGGCACTTGGCAACCAGCACGTATTCACATTGCCAGTCGAGACAATCCTGGCTCCTAACAAGCAGTCATTGGGGGAGGCCAGATTCACATAAGGATTGCGTGATTCGCTTAACAACAGTGATCTGCTTAACAAACAATCACAAAAATGTCATAAAACTGAGTGCAACTCATTTAACCTCTGCTTTGCTTAGCAATGGAAATTCTGGCTCCAATTTTGGTCGTAAGTCAAGGACTTGCTCGCATTGTGACACTGTCCACCTACACAGAAGAGATTGAGCAATGTGATGAAAAAACTAAACTCCTGTGGATGCTCAAGTATATAACTATAATTGGGCCAAAGAAGATGTTCGTTCTTAGGTATATTTGCATTATCCCTTACTCACTTTGAAAGATAAATTTCTGCTACACTTTTATTTTTGGTTGTTGTTATCGTGGCACGACAAAACCACGCTCCACTAAAGCGTGCCCGATTAAACCGCGTCGCTGACGTCATCAGCAGGGCGACAACAGCGACCGCGGAGAAAAAAGGGCGCTTTAAATACCGCTTTGAAAGCAAGTCGATTCACGTTAAGGTAAGGGTTAGGGTTAGGGTTAGGTTTAGAGTTAGGTTAAGGGTTAGGGTTAGGGTTAGGGTTAGGTTTAGA